CCTGCTCTGTTCTGATGACTGCCTCTTGGTCCAAGTATAGGTTTCGCATTAGCACGGTTAAATGTTCTGGGATTCCCATTCTTCTCAGAGTCAGCCACAGTTTCTTATGATCCACGCAATCAAATGCCTTTGCATAATCAATGAAACACAGATAGACATTCTTCTGGTATTCTCTGCTTTCCACTAAGATCCATCTAATAGTTCTGTTTGGTCATAAGTAAAGGAAAGGATTCACAATATAAGGCTGAGGGTCTTCCTTTCTTTTGCCAACACTCCATCTCTCCAAGGAAAAGTTTCCTCCAATGAATTGCCTCTCCTAGCAACCTACCCAAAATATATGCTAGGAAGCTTTATCACTTTGTCTTCAAGGAGCGCTCTGGCTGCACCTTTTCCAAGATGTATCTGTCACACTTATTCATTGTTCAGCTCTTAGAGGCATAACAAGTGATTGAAAGGACCATGGCCTGAATCAGGTGCACCTGAATCCTCAGACTGACATCATTATTCACTATATTCATGATTGTGGGGTTCAGTAGTGAAGTTAGCAGGATACAGTTTCAGGTGGCAAGAGGACACAATTTCTTAGTCAGAACAACTTCCAAAGTGTGTTCACAGGCCCTTAAGCATCATGTCTTTAGGAGAGTTTTGTAAATCCCTCTTATAAAGCCCCTGTAATAAAGACCTGACAATTATGGCATCTTCCCTCTAGTTTTCCAGTAATTTGGGTAAAGGATCCTAGCCAGTGGCCAAGTGTAGAACAGTTAGAAATTCAAGCTAGATTCAGAAGAAAACAGGAAGACTATCATAGCTAACACAAGATGGATCTTGGCTGATGGTAAAGAATTCACCAAAGATATTTACCTATAACTTCATTAATGATATATTTACCTATATTTTCACTGAAGGCATTTGACTCTGTAGATCATAGAAAATGACAGATAATTGTGAAAAAATGAAAATTCCTTAATAATATGTTGTGCTCACATGGAAACTGTGCCCAGACTTGGAGGCAGGCAGTAATTTTAATGCAATAGGAGTATACAGCATAGTTTAAAATCAGGAAGACAATGTTAAGTTTGGATCCTTTCACCATAATTACTTGATTTGTTCAGAGTTGTGAACATCCTGTGCCAAGAGAACAAACAAATATGTCTTGGAGAAGGTGCAGCCAGAGTGCTTTTTGGAGACAAAGATGATAAAGCTTCACCTCACATACATCAGACATGCTGCTACGAGAAGCTGTTCCTTGGAGATGCTCTTAGAAAGGCAAAGGGTCAGCCAAGGAGAACAAGATACTCAACTAGGCAAATTGAAACAGTGACTTCTGCAAAGGGCTGTAGTGCCTCAGGAAGTGTGAGGATGGCATAGGCCAGGACAGGGTTCACATCTGTTATTCATAAGGTCATTGTGGGTTATACTCAACAGCAGCTAACAACAACAACATTTGATCTGCATGCTGAAAAACTAATCTGCAAATCTGGCCTATATGAGAAACAACATGATATCAGGATTGGAAAAGATCCACTAATAACCCAATATGCAGATATCAGATCAACCATGCTTTTGGAAAGTTAAGAGAATGACCGAGGAAAATAAAACACTGTAGCTGTAAGTATGATAATAATCACAAGTATGATCACATCATGCTTTACAATAGGTATAAAGAAAACAAAATCTTACTATTACACCAATAACAACACAATCATAAATGGAGAAAAAGTTGAAGTTGTGAAGTATTTACCTTTGCTAAGATCTACAATGTCCACAGGAACAGCTGTGAAGAAATCAAAGACATATTTGGAAAATCTGTGGCAAAAGACCTCTCTAAAATGTTAAAGAACTGCCTGGTTGACCTAACTGGTAGGATGTTGTGCTGCCTTTTGATAGGATGATATGCAGTTTAAATCATAGGATGATATGCAGTTTAAATCAACCAGCTTTTCTGGAGTTGGGGGCTGCAATCTCCTCTGGTGTAATTTACAGCTTCTGAAAACACACTGGAGGATTGGCTTTCAGTTAGCTTCAACTCAACAACAATGAGTTTAATTAAATGTGTTAAAAAGTAAAGGAGTTATTATGGGGAGTAAGGTATGCCTGACTCAAAAGATTTTCAGTTCTTTTATATACAAGTGGA